TTACAGTATGAGTTGAGATGAATTGTTGTAGCCCAAATAATCACCACCCTCTCCAGTGCATAATTTATACCTAATCTAAGCAATGTAACAAATAATGAAGCTTATAAAAAGCAGAGGTGATGGTGGGCTAGTGTTTTAAATTAAGTACCAGTATTATGCAACATTACTTATTAATTGGAATTAAATGTATATAACCATCTTAACATTAAGGGGGAAGAAAACCCAGTGGATTTAAGAAAAAGACTGTTGAAGATAACAGCTGACTCTTTGGAGAATGAGCAAACTCTGCTTAGAATGATTGATAATCATTTGGGGATGGTGAACATATCCCAATTATATGTAGTATGTATGCCAGATGCCTCCTTATTCTCACCCCAAATAGGATGAGGTTTAACTCAAGGGTGAAGATAACTCTTTAACATATTGCTTAGTATTAAAAATAGCTGCAAATGTAGTATGTGTATATGTGTGTAATGGATAAATCAAAATGTGCCCTCTTTAGAACAATTTCATTAATGGTGACTCTCTATAAAACACTTTATTGAAATGTTGGTCAAAAAGGTCACATACTTTCTGTCAGTAGTACATGTACTCTTGAGTGTCAGTTTTGAGATTTTAGACCTGTCTTCATGTTGCAGACAGTCATTATTGATTCTGGAATGGAGTATTGCACAGTTCTTTATAAGTGTAAAGCTGTATTTTTTAAAAATTGTGATTTAGGTGAAAGTTTACAGAGCAAATTCATTTTCCTTTCAACAGTTCATACGCATTTTGTTTCATGATACTGACTGCAATCCCCACAATGTAACAGCTCTTTTCCCACTTCCTCCCTGTGGTTACCTTTTCCCTTTGTCTTTTCCTATGCATTCCTGCCCTCTGAGATATCTCCCTGCGCAAATGTTGCCCTTCTGATATCCCATGGTTGATTGATTGATCTAAGGAATGGACCTACTTGGTGTAATTATTCACTTCATAGGCCTGATGTTGTCTGGCTGTTGTCTCGGAGTTTCACCAATCACTATCAGACCAGTAATCTTTGTCTTTTGTTATTTTTATGGTTTTGAATTTTGTTCCACAGTTTTCTCCCACTCTATCCAGGATCTCCAATTTTGATCCCTTCCAAGTGGTTTGCAGTGGTAGCTGAGCACCATCTAGTTCTTTCAGACTCAGGGTCATTTAGGCTGAGGTTCTCATGGTTCACTAGTCCCTTAGACTAATTGTTTCCATGAGTCTTTGATTTCCTTTACTCTGCTTTGCTTTGGATGAGAAGAAACCAATTGTTGCAACTTAGATGGCCACTCACAAGCTTTTAAGATGCCAGTTGCTATTCATCTAAGTAGGATGAAGGACAGTGTTTTTGTGTAGTATGTTATGCCACTTGAATTTGATGTCCCCAGCATCCATGGTCCCAAGCCCACAGGCCCAGCGATTAACTCCCTCACGATTCTTCATGGTTTTGGCTGTTGTTGAGTGTGTGTAGCTAATATTGGAATAAGTCTTCTTGTAGAAATAGCTACTGGCATAGGCACAGATAGGCTGCAGCAAATTCAAATTTTTTTGGAGTTGTCATATTTTATTTTAGAAGTTGTGAATTTTTCCATATTTGTAAAATTATATTCTAAATTATCATTGAATAAAATTGATCAAACAAAAGGATGTGTAGTATTTGTCTTTTGACTTTGTCTAAGTAGGCTAGGATATCTGACCTGCTGCATTTTAGCAGCACCTTATCCAAATCCAAGTCAGGTTTTTTAAGGACAGATAATATAAGAACTTGATACAGTTACAAAAATAATTTCGTTAACTTTCTTCCCAGGGGAGTTAAAAAGGCATCTTTGTAGGTTATCTTTATGAAGATTTCTCCAGTTTCATTTATTGTATATGTGATTTATGTTTTTATTTTTCTTGATTATATACCTAGGAGTGAAATTGCTTGGTCAAATGGTTACTCTGTTTCATCTTTTTGAGGAACTGTCAGACTGTTTTCTAATTTTTTTTTTCTTTTGCCAACATCTCTGGTAGCATAGTGGCTAAGGCACTTGACTGCTAACAGAAGGCTGATGGTTCAAACCCACCAGCCACTCCTTGGAAGGAAGATGGGGCGATCTACTTCCGTAGTAATACTGCCTCAGAAACCCAAGGAGGGGTTGCTATGAGTTGGGTCTGTGACTTGATGGCAAACAACAACAATATCTTTATATATATAAAGTACTAGTTTTGAATGAATAGATATTTTAATATATTAAGAGCTAAATATGTGTTGAAATGTGTTATTTCTTAAAATTTAATCTCAGTAGTTTAAAAAGTTAAATAATTGAGGTAATTGTGGGACTTGTTTCTAGATGTGACAGTTCATAACTGAAGTTATATTTTAAATATTGGAAACAAACGGATTTAATATGTTTGTTAAATTCATATTAATATAATGTGTCTATATTATTGTTCTCAGAAGGAAGGTTGGGCAGTCTACTTCTGTAGTGATACTGCCTCAGAAACCCAAGGAGGGGTTGCTGTGAGTCAGGTCCGACTTGATGGCACATAACAACATACTGTTGTTACAAGTATAAAGTAAAATAATAAATACTTATTTAGTGCCTATTATGTGCCAGGTACTGTTCTACACACTAGAGATGAATAGATAGACAGACAGACAGATAACTCTTCGTGGCTGGGGGAGTTAGATATGTAAACTATAATTTCCATATAGCACAATAAAGACCCCAGTGGAAATCTGCACCTAAGATAATTTGGAATGAAAAGTGAAATAACCAATTTATCTTCAGTCCCATAGAGAAACCTACTTAGAGGAAAATACACTAACCTTGAAACTTAAAATATGGGGCAAATTTCCATGGTAGGGATGTGGGAAAGAAGAGTATTCCAGGCAGAGGAAACTGTAACACTTTAAGGGAACTTCAGGGCATATGGTTTAACCAGAGCGTGAAAGTGCGTGCTGGAAAATGCTGAGAGATGATTTTTGACAGGTAGGCAGCTAGCTATGCATTGTGTATGATCTTGAGTTTGAACTTCATTCTTTAATTATTGGAAAATCACTGAAAAGTATTGCATTATGATCAGGATGTTTCTCACATTAGCAAGATGGCATCTGAGTTCATTTGGAGGGTAATTTAGGTGAGGTAGTGGCTATGGAAAGAGCTCTGATGGTGCAATGGTTAAGGCATTTGGCTGCTAGCCAATATGTTGGTGGTTTGCATCTACACCAGCGACTCAGCGGAAGAAAGATGAGGCAGTCTGCTTCTACAAAGATTTATAGCTTTGGAAACCCAGTGGGTGTTGCTATGAGTCAGAATCGCCTCGTGGCAGTGAGTTTGGTTTTTTGGTTTTGTGGGACCAGGCAAGAAGAGCAGGTAAGATCTCATTGCTGTAATCTAGATGAGGGATGAGTATCTAAAATGACAGCGGGAATGACAATAAAAAGATTTCAGATGTGTTAAAGAAACAGAATCAATAACATTTAATGATTCATTATTGAGTAGCAGAAGAGGAAGAGTCCTGTATCAATCCCATACTTTTTGCCTGAAGATGTGATTAGATGGGTAAATTTCTTCCTTTTTAATTATTTTTCTTTCTGTTGTAGTTGAGAAAGTACACAACAGAACATACACCAATTCAACCATTTCTACTTGTAAAATTCAGTGACACTGATTACGTTCTTCAAATGGTGCAGCTCTTCTCACCCTGCTTTTCTGAGGTGTTCCTCCCGCATTAACATAAACTCACTGCCCCTCAGTTTCCTTTCTAATCTCTCGAGCTGCTGTTGTCTGTTTGATACTCTACAGACAGATCTTAAAAAGCACGATGCTCAAAATGGATAAATTTCTCATATATTTTTTTTTTTTTT